ACGACGGGTGAAACACCATTCCGACTAACGTACGGTACCGAAGCCGTCATCCCGGTCGAAATCATGGAACCATCACGTCGAACGGAAGACCCCCTCGACGAAGAGATGAATGACGAAGCACTAAGGGATGAACTCGACCTAGTCGAGGAAATCCGATCGGGGGCTGCCCTGCGCGAAGCAACCCTAAAACAACGAGTGGCCCTACGCCACAACGACAAGGTCATCAAGCGCGAGTTCGAAATAGGCAGCCTGGTACTACGCAGAAACCAGAAAGACTCCCGCGAAGGGAAGTTGGCCGCGAACTGGGAAGGACCTTACCGCGTCCACGACACCACGGGTACCGGGGCGTACTACCTCGAGCAGTTAGACGGAGAGCCATTACCAAGACCCTGGAATGCTGCTAAGTTGAAGCAGTACTACAGTTAAAAACTGTCAACACCTAGGACCCTCGACCAAAAGCGACCAGGCTCGGGCAACGAGGAAAAACGTCCAACTTCGTTTAAGGCTTAGGTACAGGCCGACACACGACCAAAATGGCACGGCATCGCGCGGTAGACGCTGACGATCTATAGTGCCCGACGTGGACAGCTGTACAAAGCACCACCGTCGTCGTACCCATAAGGCAGAACACCCAGCTCGCGATGGGCAGTTCACGCCAAGGGCGAATCGTCCCTACGGGCTACACGCCCGACTGAGCAACCTCACTCCAAAATGCCCGATATTCCATCAAGAATAACGGGACATCTACAAGGGTCAAGAAAATCTCTCCCCTCGAGCGCAGCACTTAAGCAACCCCGGCCAACCAAAATAGGGCCGAGATTGCACACAAATCGTGACGAGCATAGTCGCTCGCCAAATCAGAGCCACCTACGGGCACTCCTCGGGCCCGGGACTTGAGCTAAATTCATACAAGCATGTGAGTTCATACAAGGGCAGAAAATCCAAAATAAATAACAAGGTATAAACGCCCGAAGGCAACAAAGTAATATTAAACCGACCAAGAAGGCCGGCGATGTTCATACATGCAATAAACGGGCACGCAGGCCCAAAGAATACAAATTCAAATATCAAAGGCACGCAGGCCCGCTATCCAAAGAATACAAATCAAACTTCCACATTATCACCACTGTCGACGCCGGGAGAGTCGGGCGGGGGAATGATCGCGCCACCGACAACCCGATGGGTGTGCCCGATGCCCTCGGTGACCAGGCCGGGATTTAGCAATGAGAGCTGGTCGACTGCAGAATTGAACCCGTCTTCCAGGGCACCGACTGCGTCCTCCTCGAGGTTCCGGATATGGGCAATAAGCTCAGCCCGACTCTTCAAAGCCATTAGGTCCTCGGGCTCGTCTTCGGCGGGTTGTTGAACAACATTCAGTTCCTCAACCTGCTTGCCCAGGCGTTCGACTTCAGCAGCCAAACGATCCCTGTCGGTCCGGAGCAACTCCCCTTCCTCGGTCAACCGCCCCGACTTCTCCTTTTCCAAGGTCAGCATCTCCCGCTCGGCGTCAAGTATCGCGGTCTGCTCTTGGAACATCCCCTCGGAGCGTTCCAGAGCGACCTTCAACTTCCTTGAGCTCGCAGTCAAGGCCGCCTTCTCCCGCTCGAGCTCTTCAACACGAGCAGCATCCCCTGCGTCTTCAGACAATACCAGAGCCATTTCAGCCATTTTAACCAGCCCGTCCACGCTGGCGACCAGCCGCGACTTCCTCTCCTCCTTAGTCATCCTCTTTATAGCCTCGGCTTCATGAACGACCACGGTCGGAGGGAACCGCTCAAAAAAGCCCTCCTCCTCGAAGCAAGGGGGAAGGCAAAGGATTGAACAGGGCCGGTATCTTCCCCGACATTCGAACCGGCTTCCACGCGGGTCCTTTTCCTCTGGGTCAAAATGGCACTGGCATCAATCTCCTCGACATCCGGATCCGATGCTGCTCCTGAGCTCGATGTCGAATCCACCCTCACCGGCTGAGGAACGGTCGTGCTCGGCGGTGGTCCCATTCTCGTCAATTGCGGGGCAGGCACGACCTTCTTGTTTCGCCTCTGGCCGGTTGACAATTTCAGGAGCCTCTCATGTCGGCTGGCCATCGTACCTGCACGAAGTAAAAGAAAAGTCAGTATCGAGCAAAACGCGTAAATAAATGACGAGTGAAGAATTTCAAACAAACAACCTAACAGGCGGGCTGCCTGCCTGTATGTTGAACATTCCACCAACGCCTTGGTATCGATCGGGCGAGCCTCGAATGTCGGGTAACCATCCTTGTCGAGGATATCATTCCCTTCCCGCGTAACCCATTGGGCGGGATGAAAACTGTCGACAAAGTTACAGAGAGCATCATATGCCCGCTGATCCTCCGTGCACATGTCCCCGACTGCGGTATGGAAATAGCCGGTTCCATGCTGGAAGTGTCGGGACATCCAGTATACCGGGAACTTAGCCCGACGTCCTAACACGGGGCTCCCGTCATCGGTCAACATTGCTTCCCCGTCATCATCGCTGACCGGCCCTTCCTCCTCGAAGAGGGAATCTACAGCAGAGTCGGAGATAGGGTGTATCACATACCACTTATCCTTGAACCCCCTCACAGAGTCCATGTACATCCTAAACAGTCTCCTCGACTGCTTCAAGGACACCCAGCTGTGCTTCCCTCCTCGGGACTGACGCTGTAGGTGGAAGACCCTAAAGAAGAGAGGGATGGTCGCCCCTATCCTTAAGTAGCGGCACGTCAGCTCAAACGCCCGAATGAAGGCGAGAGAGTTAGGGTGTAGCTGGGACGGGGCCAGCTCCAAATGCGTAAAAACGCCGGTCTCAAAGTCTGTGAAAGGCATCCGCAAACCCAAGTCTTTAAACGCGATCTCGTACATCGCAAAGCTATAGTCCGGGTACATCGAACAAATCCTGGCGTTGGTCGACGGCAGCATGACCTCGAAATTCGGTTGAAAGTCGGGCTGGTCCTGCCCTTCTTCGACAGCGATGAACGGATGTCGGTCATCCCGACTGTATATCGACGCCGTCCCCCGAGGCTCGGCGCCCACCCATTCCAGCGATGGGTCGGTCACGGTGTCTATAAGGTTGGCCGACTCGTCGGCACTTTGTTCTTCGCTGTCACGACGACCGGAGGAGCTCGGCTCATCCGCCATGGTTACCTGCATAGCACGGGAAACCAATCAGATTGAGCATGAAGTCCTATGCTCGACATAATCATGTCGTCCATACACTACCACAAGTCCATTTTCGCAAGTGGATGCCTCCCCGACTCTCCTGAATCCAGTGTTCTTCCACAAACCAACTACGCGGCCACTCTTCAAGCATGTCGACCCGAGGTATGAACATGGCGAGCCGCATTATGAAGCCCACGGCCACGACCATAAACATACCGGGCACCGGCATGAGTCAGGCGCCCAGGATCATGAAGTCCCCGGGCAGCTCTGAAGTTTTTCACCTAAAACTACGAATGTGTCGACCACAAGTATGCATTTGCAGGTCCTAGACATGAATCTGTCGGGCAAAACACGAGTTTACCGGGCTAATCCCACATTAAAGGTCCTAAAACATCTACAATTTACAAGAATCATGCATTCTAAAACAGGAAAATAAAGAAAATGGATCACTTACTTGGATCAAAGTTGGGATTTGGCTAAGAAGGGAAGGATCTGAGACGGGAAGTCACGGTTGGAGAGAGTGTTGAGAGTTGCAACGAAGAGAGCACGAAGAACGGAAAACATATTATGGGGCCCAAGGACCCTATTTATAGGGATGACGTGGAATACCAAACGTCACCCCGTTCGACCACGAACTCCTTCTCCTCGACGCGCTGCTCCCAACGCAATGATGGCCCTACCCCCCTAGGGTGGCGGCACAACTCCCGAAAGATGCCTCGTGTGCTCGACTGACGCGCCCGGTAAGGATCCTCCACGCATCCACCACCGCGGACATCTCCGAGCACGGCACGAGGAGACCCCTCGAGGGTCCACGCCTCCATCCCGGGCACGAGACCTCAGAGACGGAACAACTTTGTTTCAAGTCATGGCTCCTCGCAAAGGAACCACGACTTGGGGGGCTCCTGTTCTGGACTGGGCCCGACAGGCCCAAAAGCATTACTAAGGCCCAGTCCAAAGGGACTCACTAAGGACCACACTGGGCAAAAGGGGTCACGTCCATGCCCGACACCCTGATGTCCACCTCGACATCTCGGTGTCCAACCCCACGATGAAGTCATGCTCGACCGCCTGCCGTCCAGCTCTATGTCCTGGATCCCAGCTCGACACTCGCTGTCCAGCTCGAGGTCTTGGCGTCGAGCTCGGCACCGTGCTGCGCAGCTCGACATGGTCTCGAGCTAACTTGCTAGGGCAGACTTAGTCCACCATTGCCCCAACGATACTCCGGAAAGACCGCGTCTCCGTCCGCCCGCACTTCATGCAGCATATCCAGGAAGGGGACCACGTGCTGGTCCCCACTACCCACGTAGAACCTGGCAGTTCCTCCATTGGGCCAAATCCGCCCGGCCCAATGAAGGAACCTTGGCCCAGCGCTGGGGGCTATAAATACCCTCTGTTTCCAGAGGGTCAGGTATTGATCATTCTAACCTCAACTCTATTATCTGCTAGTACTCCCACTGACTTAAGCATCGGAGTGCCTTGCAGGTACCCCCTCCTCGTTCAAAAAGCCTTCAGCTCGGAGCAGCCGTGACAGTCCAAACCTTCTGATTAGGTCAGATCAGATTTTATACACATAAAATTATGGTAATGAAATTCTCAATTTCTTCAATTTACAAAATGGAGAGAATCCTTATCCATCCTTTGTCATTAATTTTCCCTAAATAGTTTCTCATTTTTGCCCAAGAATTAATTTAGGCATTATTTTCAGTTTCCATCGTAAACATTTTCCTCTCAACAAAACAATTCCAGAAAAGGCATAATAGAAATTATTTCATCCATCACTGCTTGTAAACCACAAGTAAAGCCAAAAAAGACATCAAGATTACAAGATTGAACATTGGCTATTTAACAACTAATCTCAGAGGAATTTGGAGTAAAAATAAATGAATCACTCCAAGCATAAGTAAAGGTAACATTAACATTTGTTACAATAGGTTTACCACCAGTAACAAGACAAACATTACCCGAGACACTTAATAAAATTGAAGGATCTATAAATTCAACTGTTCCAAAATTAGGGCAATTTATTTTCACATTCTTCTGAATACAATCAGGACAATTGTTGATGATATCCACACGATATTCTGGAAATAGTCTCAATTGATTTCCGGTTAGATATTGGTATATAGAGAGATTATTCGATGAACATTCACTATAGCCTGAGAAATCATGACAGTATTGTAAATAAACGATAAATTAATTAATAATAGATTATAAAATTTACTAGAAATTTAAATTAGTTGTTTTGAAGAAACATTACCTTGAGAAACGAGGACAAGAAATGAGACTAAGATGAGAATTTTGATGGTGGAATCAACCATTTTTGACATAGGAATGCTTGTTTTTGTTTTTGAAACTATAATGTATTGCGTTATTTATACATGTAAATTATGTTACAAATGTTAGAAAAATCTATTTTGACTAAAATTGTTATAAAAGTTATTTTTTTACCGTTGTATATTACCAAAAAAAATTATTTTTGAATATTGTATATTAACAAAAAAAAAGAATATAATAATGATTTCTATTAAAGTAAATTAAATGCAAAAGGGAACTTTTTGAATATGTTTAATTTGTTTGTATTAGTAAACAACTTTTTAGGTATTTTAATCAATTTTTAAAATGCAACCGAAATTTTACATTTTTATATTTGGTTTTTCATGTTTTCCTTCCGCTAAATGTAAAGTTGTGCAATGAATGTATGATTTCCCAAAAAAAATTAAAAACAAAATATATAAATATAGGTATTTTTTGTTAGTATTTCTAAAAGTAAAGATTGTATAAGATTTTGTTTGAATTTTTTCTTGTCTAATATTTTAAATCTCACCTCTTAAAAGTGGATTGATAATGGAGTGTCATATATTGGAACAAATATATATATATATATATATATATATATATATATATATATATATATATATATATATATATATATATATATATATATATATATATATATATATATATTGTTGGTGCAAGATAATGAAATGAGAGAAGAAGAATGAATAAAGAATGATAACAAGACTACTGTTGTATATTAAAATAGAAGAGATAAAGTAGGGTGCAATATTGATAGTCTAGGATATTATATTTATACTAAATATTGAAAATGCCAAAATGCTCTATTAAAGATAAGCATTGGGAATCGTAGAAATTAACTAAATTATCTTTCCAATATCATTCTTTAATTTAGATTTTCTATCAGAAGCTAACAACACCAATTTCATCTCTCAAGTGAAGAAATTGATCTGTCTTAACTGCCTTCGTCAGAAGATCTGCTAGCTGTTTCTGGATGCTGCAGTGCAGAACTTCTAACACTCCTTTCTGCACTTGACTTCTGAGAAAATGATACTTCGGTTCAATGTGCTTGCTTCTTCCATGTAGCACTGGATTCTTGGCAAGATCAATTACAGGTTTATTATCAATCATCGACTTCAGAAGTTCCTCAACTTCAACCTTCAGATCATGCAAGAGATTCAGAAGCCAAATAGCTTGACAAACAACTACAGCACCTGCGATATACTCAGCTTCACATGTTGACAGAGCCACGACAGGCTGTTTCTTGGAACTCCAAGAAATGGGACCTCCCAGAAATTTAAATAAGTATCCAGAAGTATTTCTCATGTCCACTCTGTCTCCACACCAGTCAGAATCAAAATAACTTATTAATTATGGTTCTGTCTTTCTTTCAGAAGGAAACATCACTCCATATTTCAGAGTTCCCTTGATATATCTCAGAATTCTGACAGCAGCTTGGAAATGAGACCACTTTGGATTACTCGTGAATCTGCTAACCAATCCAATTGCATAACAAATGCCAGGTATAGTATTGCATAAATACCTTAGAGAATCAACCAACTGTTTGAAGGTTGTAGTATCAACATAATCACCATCAGAGTCAGAATCCAATTTTTAATTGGTTTCTGATGGTGTCACAACAAATTATAATTCTGCAGCTTAAATCTCTTAAGAAGTTCAAGTTCGTACTTCAACTGATGCAGAATGATACCCTTCTTTGAGTACAGAATCTCCATATATTTCCTAGATCTGTCATCTCGAACTCATTCATCAAAACTTCTTTGAACTTTTTTATATCTTCTGGGCAGCTTCCTGTTAGCAAAATGTCATCAACATAAAGACACACCAGAATCATATTGTTATCAGAGTGTTGCACATAAACGCCATATTCCATTTCACATTTCTGAAACTTCTGCTTCTTGAAAAACGAATCAATTTTAGATTCCAAGCTTTGGGCGTCTGCTTCAATCCATACAGAGCTTTATTCAACTTGTATACCATTCCTACCTGAATCTTTTTTACAAATCCAGGAGGTTGTGACACGTAAACTTCTTCCTGTAATGGACCGTTCAGAAATGCAGACTTCACATCCAGATGCATCAAAGGCCAATTTCTATTTGCAGCTAAAGCAATCACCAGTCTGATTGTTTCATGCCTAGCTACAGGCGCAAACACCTCAAAGTAATCTAGCCCAGGTTTCTGAAGAAAACCTCTAGCTACTAGTCTGGATTTGTGCTTGCCAATTGAACCATCTAGCTTAAGCTTCAACTTAAAAACCCATCTAATACTGATAGCTTTTTTCTTATCTGGAAGCTTAGTCAATTTCCACATTTTGTTCCTTTTTATTGCCTCAAGTTCTTCTTTCATGGAATTCAGCCATTCTTTCTTCTTGAGAGCTTCTTCAATACCCACTAGTTTAGAATATACTAACATGGAACACTGAACGACTTCTCTTTCAGAATCAACTTCATTATCCTGCAACATGTCGAAATCTGCAAACCTTCTTGTTTTTTGTCTGATTCTGTGGTCTTTGAGCTTGTTCTGAAACTGCACCAGAACTACTACTTTCAGAGTTACCACCTTCATAGTTTTCCCTTCCAGAACTATGATCACCACCAGATTATGGATCATCATCAACATCTGGATCAGAATCAGATCCACTGTCAGAATCTCCTTCTGACTCATCTTTAGAATCTTCAGAACTTTCTAAAACATCTTCAGAAGTTAACTCTGGTGTTGGCATTACACTAGAATCTGATTGAGACTTGTTCCAATCCCATGCTTCAGACTCTTTCACCACAATGTCTCTGCTGACTTTAACTTTATTAGTTTCTGGACAATAAAGCTTATACGCACCTGTACTGTGATACACCACCAGCAACATTACTTTGCTTCTATCGTCCAGTTTTTGTCTTCTAGCTTCTGGAACGTGTTTGTAACAGACAGAGCCAAACACCTTCATATGACTGACACTTTGCTTATCTCCAGTCCATTTTTCTAAAGGAACAACTTCCTTCAGCTTCTTCGTTGGACACCTGTTCAAAATATATGCTGATGTGGCAACAACTTCTCCCCATAACACGTGAGGTAGCTTTTTTTTTCTTTCAGCATGCTTCTGGTCATATCAAGCAAAGTTCTATTTCTTCTTTCAGCAAGACCATTGTGTTGAGGAGTATATGGAGCAGTAGCCTCGTGTTCTATTCCATCCTCCTCACAGAACTTCTGGAACTCTATAGAGTTATACTCACCTCCACCATCCGTTCTCAGAATCTTCAACTTCTGACCACTCTGCTTCTCAGCCTTCACTTTGAACTTCTGGAACTCAGTAAACAATTCATGCTTAAACTTAATGAGTGTTACCCATGTCATTCTTGTGAACTCATCCACAAAAGACACAAAATATTTGTTTCCTCCAAGTGAAGGTACTGGAAATGGTCCACACACATCAGAATGTACTACTCCCAGAGTATGCTTCGCTCTGGGGGCTGCTTCTGATGCAAATGGAAATCTGGGTTGCTTGCCTTTCATGCATATCTCACATGACTTATCAGGCTTCACAATCTTCGAAATACCATGTACTAGATTCTTAGAACATAGATTCCCTAAGCTTCTATAGTTCAAATGCCCCAACCTCTTATGCCACAACTTACTGTCACCTTCAGCGCCTTCTGCACTAAGACACGTTGCTTCAGCTGTTTCTACATTCACCTTGAATATTCGTTGCTTCCTTGTTCAGACTTCATAATCAACTTCTGATTGGAATCATACAACGTCAAGAGATTGTTTTTCATAACAACTGAGAAACCTTTTTCAATCAGCTGACCCATGCTCATCAGATTTCTTCTAATACTAGGAACATACCAAACGTCTTTGATCAGAATGTCTTTCCCATTATTCACTCTAACTCTGACATCTCTCATACCTTCTGCATTAAGATACTTATCGTCGGCACATCTGATCTTTGTTCTCCTTCTGGAGTCAAAGTCTTTCAACCATTGTTTGTTTCCAGTTAAGTGATTTGAACAACCAGTGTCCATATACCACCAATCTTCTGAGCATTTTTCATCAGAATCAGAAGCCATTAGTAGCACAGGTTCATCATAAGAGTTTCCCTTAGCTATATACGCTTCTTCTGATTTCCTTTCCTTGTTTGACCTACAATCTCTGAAAAAATGGCCAAATTGTTTACAAGAGTAACATTGGACCTTCTTTTTGTCATATACCTCTCCTTTCCTTTATGATATCTCTTATCATCAGAAGTCGAGGTTTCTAACTTCTGGAATCTATCACTATGTTTATTCTGCTTCTGGTCTTTCTTGACAAAAGAAGCCTTCAGAGCTTGCTCAACTTCCCTCTCAGAAGTTCTCTCAGACAGACGTAACTCATGTGCTTCTAAACTGCTTTGCAATTCTTCTATTCTCATGGTTTCCATATCTTTAGAATGTTCAATAGAAACAACAATGTAATAAAACTGAGGAGTAAGCGACCTCAGAATCTTCTCTATGATTACCTGTTCAGACAGAGTTTCTCCACACGCCTTCATTTCGTTAGTGATTAGGATCACTCTAGAGATATATTCAGAAACTTTCTCACTGTTCTTCATGTTCAAGTTCTCATATTGCTTTCGCGGGGATTGAAGCTTCACCTTCTTTACTGATGCATCACCACCGTAACATCTCACCAGTAAATCCCACGCCCCTTTTGACGTTGTCGAATCAGCAATCTTCTCAAACACACTTTCATCCACACACTGATGGATATAGAACAGAGCTTTCTGGTCCCTCTTCCTCATAACCTTCTCAGCAGTTTTTTGTTCTTCAGTTGCATCTGCTGCAGCTGGTATATAACCATTTGTAACCAGATCCAGAACATCTTGCGCACCAAACAGCACGCGCATTTGTATCATCCATCTATTCCAGTTTTTGCCATTAAAAACTGGGAGTTTGGTGTTCAAACTACTGCCTCCACTCATCTTTGACCTTGCACAGATTTTTCAGATCTTAAAACACACTGTTTCCCAACCCACAAAATC